ATTAAATTCCACCGCAGCTGTACGAACTGAGCGAGATTGACCGGTTTTTATAGCCTCAATGGCGAGGAGGATTTGGCCCTCTTGATACACCCGCTCTTTTGATGATTTCGGCATTTTTGGTGGGAAAATTGATGGTTGAATTGCTTCGTTTCTCGGAGGTGGGAGGATTCAGGGGGGTGGCTCGCTCGCTTGCGTGGCTCGCTCGGTTGACGATTACGTTAACTAAGAGAGGGGGGGGGGAAACCAGCGGCCTCTAACTTACCGTAGTCGCGTTCTCTCCCTCCGTCTCCCCCGTCCCGCTTCCACCCACATCTCTCCCAGAATGCCAGAAAACCATCCCGGGTTTGGCGGTCGGATGACATAAGCGCAACAGGGCCGACGGTCCGGAAAAACTCGCGACAGGAACTTCGCCTTGACAAGCTTCAGTATCCCAGTCCGCATTGCCAGCCATTGACTGTCGATACCCTCCAAACCGGTCGCTCGGAATCCGGCTTCGATCCTTCTTCTTTCACTAATTCTGTTTGATTGCCGCTCCGGAGGCCCAGGGTCTTCTTATCACACACAAAATGGCTTCTCAGGGTGTCAACGTGAGTCTCCGCCAGGGCCCGTTCTGATACATACTCCAATCCCATAACAATTCAGCCCAACCCAGCCCACCATCCCCCAGAGTGACCCTCAATTGTTAACCATACCTCTTCGCCTTGTAGGTTCTGCGCTACTCGGCTCTTATTACCGGTCTCGTCTACGGTTTTTACCACCAGTCCTCCCTCACCTCCGCCGCCAAGCACGCAGAGGCCGAGCGTGAATATGCCCGCCAGGAGCGCCTGATCGAGCAGGCCAAGGCTGAATGGAAGAAGAAGACGGCGCCCAAGGACTCTAAGACGAACAACGGAGGTATGTGTCTTCCTGAGCTCCACGACGCTTGCTGCACAATCCGATTCGGCCGCCCTTGGCCCTCCCTTGAACTGGCCAACATGACCCCCTCCCCGGTCGGGCGCTAATTAGTGACTGTGTGCAGTGATCACGGACCCCGAGGACAGCCGGTTTGACCTTGAGGCTTTCCTGAAGCTGAAGGCTGGCGAGAACTAAACATGTTTGGAAGTATACAGCGAGAAGATGATTTGCTTTTATCTCCCAATCGATCATAACCTGACAAGGTATCGAGGCGAGATTTCGGGATGATCCCGGTTATGTATTATTGTTTGTTGGTCTAATTTCCCAGAGTCGTGTCATTGCGAGCGAAAGGAATGATTTTCTTTTTTCCACTATAGACATCATCCCCGCATCTGTACATACCCTGGGCTGTCGTGCATGTGTACACTACAGTTGGGCCAGAAGAGCAAGAGATTCAGTTGTATGCTTCGGTTTCATTGCTGATCCTTCCGTACTGTGTGTGTACCCCTGCATAGCTTCATGCCCTTGCGCGTGGTGCCGCTCTGGGGCCGTTCAAGGGCCGTTAAGTGTACTTCATAGAACGGTTGCTAGAAGACCATTGTTCCGCATGTTTGTCTATCTCATTTCATCCGTTGGTTCTCATTAGAGGTATTATCTTTATGGTTTTCGTTCGTAAGGAATCGCTCCCTGGATGACTTGCATCGTTCAACCCTGGCGACTGCCGATCAAAGCCATTATCTCACTCAGTTCATTGTACGACCGAGCATCTTTCTCGGAGTCATCGACAATAGCTTTGGGGTGTAATAGTCCGGTTTGCTCGTCTCGAGTCCATCCATGGGCCGTGAGCTTCCCTATGGTGGCCGGATCTCCTCGCGCTGTGGATTCGGGGTCGAGGCCGAGGTAGCTTGCAGCTGTTGCAGGTCTGATCGCCTCATAAGTTCTGCTCAGCTCTCTTAACGTCTTTTCCTGGAAGTATGCTTCAAGAGTGTTAGTGGTGATGTTTCGGGGTCTTTCAGCGGCGTTAGAAGAGAGTTGCTTCTTACTGTCATAGCTTTGTACAATCGGCTTCAGGATTTCCGACCACCGCAACTCCCTCAGTGTCTTATAGACCAGCTCATGCTTGTGCTGCCAATTTGCTCGCAGCAAGGCCAGGCAATTCTGTAGGGAGCTGTCTGTCTGCAACAGGTCTTGCGGCATTCGCTTAGTCAAAGCGCGGGCTTCGTAACTAAAAAGTGACGATGTATAAGCATCTGAATAAGAGAACAGGGCAAGATGAGCATGAGGATACCCACATTTGATCTGTCAGAAGATGAGACAAGAAATATGCCGCATAGTATTGGCTCAGAAGCTCTGCTTGCCTGTCATCCTGGAAGGAGAGAAGATATGCTTCTTCCTCATATGGAGATAGTGTTCCATAGAGCTTTGACGGAGTATCAGCCGATGAAATGACTGCAGCAAGCTGCTCTTGCGAGAGTGATGGTGCACTCATGCCGAACAAGGAGCAAAGTCTCTGAGACACTACGTTGCTGGCGGCAGATCAAAGCCGGTGGTGTAGAACTGAAAGGTTTAGAGCTCTGCGGGATCGAGACAATAGCGATGATGATGCGGTGCGGGGACAATCGGAGGTTTCCCCAAAGCCGCAACGGGCGGCTTGCGACTTACGTACCTGGCCGCGCCAAGACCCCAGAAGAGACCACCTTGCGAAGCTCTCGATTCCATCTCCCCGGTCTCTCTCCCTCCCAAACTTCGCTCTCATCGACCGCCTGGGCAGGACGAGAGTCACTCGTTTATCATTTCTCCCAATTGGAAATTTGAATCTTGCTTCCTGGCCATTATGGCCGAATCATCCCTCAATGTCTTACTGAAGGGTAACACCGGCAGGAACACTCGCGGCCTTCTGCGGATTATCATTCTGGGAACTATTGCCGCCGCCGCTGTCTCCAGTCGATTGTTCAGTGTTATTCGTACGTATATCTGCAATGACGATGAAGGATACATATACATGACTGGTTCGCTGACCATATTCACCTTAGGTTTCGAGAGTATCATCCACGAATGTACGTGTTTCATTTATTCAACACCGACCCGTTCATCCATCACCAAATGTCCACGTTGAGCTTGCTCCGCGGTTCGCGATTGCTTATCATATTCAATCTCACCACCCTCGAATTGGCACTGATTTGGTCTTGTCTTACAGTCGATCCTTGGTTCAATTTCCGAGCAACGAAATACTTGGTTCAACATGGCTTCTACAGCTTCTGGGATTGGTTTGACGATAGTAAGTTGCCTCTTCACCAGTCTTGGCCGCTTTTAATAGGCAATGCAATATCATGTCGGGATTTTTGGGGGAGCAATGTTTTTGATTCTAACCGCTTCAAACTTTTTAGGAACATGGCACCCTCTGGGACGTGTCACGGGTGGTACGCTATACCCCGGACTGATGGTGACCAGCGGCGTGATCTACCACATTCTGCGATTCCTGACCATTCCCGTTGATATCCGTAACATCTGTGTCTTGCTCGCTCCCGGTTTCTCCGGTTTGACTGCTCTGGCGATGTACTTTCTTACTTGTGAGATGTCCACCTCGCCATCTGCGGGTCTGCTTGCGGCTGCTTTCATGGGCATTGTCCCTGGCTATATCTCTCGTTCAGTTGCTGGCAGCTATGATAACGAGGCCATCGCCATCTTCTTGCTCGTCTTTACCTTCTTTCTGTGGATCAAGGCTGTCAAAAACGGCTCTATCATGTGGGGCGCATTGACTGCCCTGTTCTACGGTTACATGGTTTCGGCCTGGGGTGGTTATGTTTTCATCACCAACTTGATTCCTCTGCACGTCTTCGTTCTTCTGTGCATGGGAAGATACAGCTCTCGTATCTATATCAGTTACACGACCTGGTATGCTCTGGGTACTTTGGCAAGCATGCAGATTCCATTCGTTGGCTTCTTGCCGATCCGGAACAGTGACCACATGTCTGCCTTGGGTATCTTTGGCCTGCTCCAACTTGTGGCTTTTGCCGACTTTGTCCGAGGCTTCATCCCCGGCAAGCATTTCCAAAGACTCCTGACTACCATGATCATCGTCGTCTTCGGTGTCGCACTTGTAGGACTTGTTGTCCTGACTGTATCTGGAGTGATTGCTCCCTGGAGTGGTCGCTTCTACTCGCTGTGGGACACTGGCTACGCCAAGATTCATATTCCCATTATCGCATCGGTCTCTGAGCACCAGCCTACCGCCTGGCCAGCATTCTTTTTCGATTTGAACTTCCTGATCTGGCTTTTCCCGGCCGGTGTCTACATGTGCTTCCGCGATCTCAAGGACGAGCACGTCTTCGTCATCATCTACTCCGTTCTCGCCAGTTACTTCGCTGGTGTCATGGTTCGTCTGATGCTGACGTTGACCCCTATTGTTTGTGTCGCTGCCGCCCTGGCTCTTTCCACTATCCTTGATACCTACGTTCTCGCCACGCCAGGCCCTAACCCCAAGGCGAAGGTTGTCGAGGACGCCTCTTCGGAGCCCCTCCGCTCTGCGAGAAAGCCCGATGTTGGAGTCACATCCTACCTCTCCAAGATGGTCGTGACCTCGTCCGTGGTTGTTTATCTTCTGCTGTTCGTTGCGCACTGCACGTGGGTCACTTCCAACGCCTACTCCTCTCCGTCCGTGGTTCTGGCCAGCCGGATGCCGGATGGAAGCCAGCACATCATCGATGACTACCGTGAGGCATACTACTGGCTCCGTCAGAACACTCCCCACAACGCCAAGGTTATGTCCTGGTGGGATTACGGCTACCAAATCGGTGGTATGGCGGATCGCCCCACTCTCGTTGACAACAACACCTGGAACAACACCCACATTGCCACGGTTGGAAAGGCGATGAGCTCCCGGGAGGAAGTCAGCTACCCCATCCTCCGTCAGCACGATGTTGACTACGTCCTGGTAGTCTTTGGTGGATTACTTGGCTACTCTGGTGACGACATCAACAAGTTCCTGTGGATGGTCCGTATCGCCGAAGGTATTTGGCCCGATGAGGTCAAGGAGCGTGATTTCTTCACTGCCCGGGGTGAATACCGTGTCGATGATCAGGCCACCCCGACCATGCGCAACAGCTTGATGTAAGCCTTCCCCTTCTTGTGCGTGTGGTAGAGAGCAAATACTGATGATGAGACAGGTACAAAATGTCCTACTACAACTACCACACTATGTTCCAAGGCGGTCAAGCCGTGGACCGTGTCCGTGGTGCGAAGCTTCCGGCGGAGGGACCCCAGCTCTCTACCCTCGAGGAGGCCTTTACCAGTGAGAACTGGATCATCCGTATCTACAAGGTCAAGGATCTGGACAACCTGAACCGAGACCACGGCAACGCAGTCGCATTTGACCGCGGCCACAAGCGCAAGCGTGCGACCAAGAAGAAGGGACCTCGTGTTCTGAGAACCGAGTAAGGGGATGATCGCTTGCTGTTCGTGTAGCTGATAGACTACCCGGGATGATGAAAGTGATCCCTTGTTGATTTCTATATGTTCCATCATAAACCTGTACTACAAACACTTGGTGGGCGGGGAGGCAAGATATTGCCGATTTAGATGTATGTCTTCACCTCGGTGTAAAGTGTAGAGAAAGCCAGTTTGTAAAAACGGAGGATATACAGATACCATGTCAGTATTTGGTGATAAACACATAGGTCTATCTCATAGAATAGAGGATAAACAGGGAGGGGGAATATGAGTACAGATGATCACTAAATGAAAGCGCAACAATTTGGCAAGATACTTCTGCTGCCAACCGCATCGCTGGAGGGGTTGTCGGCTTGTCGCTAGACCCGCAGGTTCTCGAACAGTTTTGGCTATAAATCCACAGCAGGCCTTGCTCCAAGGCTCGGACTATCCGCGTATTCAACATCCAATAGCGCAGAGGACATGCACCATTGTTGTATCAATAGAGCCCAGTATATTTGACAGCACACCAGTCACTGACGAGCCTATACAAGCCATGCGAACCTTCCAAGCGGCAACCAACCCAGGATGATGACAGCCCGGCACACAAAACAAACCGACCAGAAACTCCACAAATTCAAGTCTGTTATGGTTCCATAACACTCACCAGCGCTCCAGCATCTGGCCGGGTTCAAAGTATCGCATCACAGACCAAGATCAGAGGTGTCGTTTGGCGTTCGTCTATTGCTTCTGCTGGGGCTTGGCGGGAGCATCGGGGACCTTGACGTCGGAGAACTCATCCTGGCCGACCGCGCGGATAGTGTAGGCATCTGTGGCGAGTGTGAAGTTGGCAATCAGCTTTTGCACTGGGATTGGTGGAGGGATGGATAAATGAGGGAATTGCATGTAACATACAGACACCGATGGTGAATCCGACGAGGCACAGACCGGTCACGGCGTTCTTGAGGAGGTAGGGCCGGCGCGCACGCAGAAGGGCGGCTCCGGCGCGGTAGTCCTTGCCGTAATAGGACGAGTTGAAGCTATATGCAGAGACGGGTCAGCGTTGGCCTCTCGAAGCGCTGTAGAAGAGCGGACGGGTCGAGTCCGCGGAAGAGAGTGGCATGATTGCCGGGTTGCTTCGACTGTCGCATTGGAAGAGGAGAAGACGTACATTCCAGAGGCCATTTTGGCGAGCTGTTTCAGTCCCGGATAATCACTGCAGCGATTGAGGTTTCTGGTATATGAGAGGAAGAGGGACGAAAGTCGAGGGGAGAAAGAAGGTCAACTTGGATCGCTCTTCCAGAAATTCGGGGAAGATGCCGCCGGGCTTGGCGCTCCTCGCCGGCCGAGACAGTCAACCCACGAGGCTGGCATGCAGAAGGTGCTACTGCAGGTATATATGGGTGTATGTCACATATCTGGACTCTTTCCTGGCTGATATTGGGGTTTTCAAGACTTTGAATTGGTCAACATATACAAGTAGCTCTTATGTCATGTTGGGGTTTTCTCTGCGCTTTCTTCAGACATCTGATTGCGACTATATATACCACTAGTATATGAAGTAGTCTCGTCTATCGAGTCGTCCCCCATCGCTGGACCAAGCTACGAGAGGGCGCGTAAAGCACAACTCCCTCATAGTTCTCAGTATAGCACTTTCCCCCAGAAGATTTACTATGGTCTCCTGCACAAAGAGTCACCAAATGGCATTGGTGGACGTGGCTGGCCAGCTGCCATCAGCGGGAGGAACAGCACGTGACCTTCGGCAGCGTGACTTTGCTTGCCTTTGTCTGAGTCTCGGCTTCTTCATACAATCAATCAGCTCAGTTCCGCGTCAACGTGCTTTTCCCTCCCTCCATCGACATCTGCTTCGAACTTTGGTATCGCCAGCAATTCTTTCCCCGCCTGGATCGATATCTTTTCTTCCATGGTTTCCCTCGACGAAACTCCTGCGATATCCTTCACGCCTTGTATGTGTCTTGGGGACAAATAGTCGTCGCGGCCGTGTTATAAGCTCCGTGCCTTGGCACCTAACTCCCCTGCGTAGACAGCCTCCACCCGTGATAATCAGCCATTGAGTATCACACCAAGCCGCCTCACTCGCCCAGCTCCTGCCAGGTCGAACTTACCGGCCGTTCAACAGAGCCCGTAATGGCTCAGTCGGCAGACCACCTCGTCGATCAGATCGCCCAGCTCAATGCTGCCCGCAATCTCGTCCTGGGCGACGCTGCCTTCTACCCTCAGATCGTGAACGGTGTCCTGCCTATAATCGGCGCGCGTGCGCGACTAGAACTGCGAAGATGGGGAGCCGAGTTCCTGGCCGAAACATTTGCTAGTCCCGCGCTGGCTTCGGCACAGAAGGAGCAGCTGGCCGCCAGTGTGCTACAGGCGCAGCGCGAAGTATTGGAATTGCCGGAAGGAGATCCATTGGTCCTGAAACATATAGTGCAGAGTGCTGCCAGTCTGTATCCGTTGGTGTTTAGGCATATGTAGGTGACCGGCGTCTGTCTTCTCTTTTTTTTCCTACTGCCTGGGAACAACCCTCTCCCCAAAAGCTTTCGTAGACGCTCGCATGGAGCAGACGTGTCACCTAAAGTGTCTCTTGTTGGATGCGACTACTAACACCTCAATGTTGCAGTATTAATCACCCGCAAGATGGAGCGATGTGGGAGAATATGACAGCAATCAAACAAGCTATCTTGCGACGATGGGACTCATCCCCTGCCCAGATCAAGATCTGTTGCATCAAATTTGTTCAGCGCGTTGTTCAGGTCCAAACCAATGGACCGATCGCGGACCCTAGAGTATGTATTCAGAGTCCTGTCACGGGCTTGTCGTCCGATATGGAGCTAATTGTGTCTATCTTTTTTTCTAGCGACCTGACCAGAACGAAACTTCTCTTGCCATTGTGCCTCGCAACCATCCCGTTTTATCACTCCCTAGCTTGGAGGCAGAAGCCTCCGGGCTTCTGGATAGGCTCCTGTCTGCCCTACAAGAAGAGTCAAGGTACTTGATCCTGCTTGAAGTCCGGGTGGCTGTGGGAACCCTGCTAACCGCTCTGTAGCGACCCCCTCCTTGTGAACGCCACGTTAAACTGCCTGGCAGTCCTGGTCCGCAGTCGACAGTCGATCGGAAATAAAATCATCAATGCTATCCTGAATTTCTTCCCTGCAAGACAAGTGCGCCCACCTATAACTCCAGCTGTCCGGATTGGTGTGAAATCGATGGAACGAACCGTCAGAGCCGTTCTGGATCACATAATGAAAAGGTGAGACGAGGACGCAACAGGCACATTGTTCCATGGGCTGATGATCGTCTAGGAACGCCAGCCATCCGTTGATTCGTAAGATGGAACAGCGAAGGAACGCACGTCTGGATATTGTCGACGAGGCAACAAGAAAACGCGCACCCCCTGCCGAACCAACGGACGGACTTGACAAAACAAAACGGACGAAACTTGACGCAGAAACGCCACCATTGATCAAGATCCCGCCACTCCCCCCGGGACCAACCAGTTTTGCGCAGCTCTTCACCCTGACGGAAGATGCTGGGCTTTCAGGTTTCGATGTCAAGCAACTACCTCCTGATCTGCTTGTCAATATGGTCGTCCCCCTTCTCGCTCGTGTAGACCAGTCAGCGTTGACTCAATCTATAGATGTAGGTTTGGACACCTAGTGTACGCAGCTGAGAGCTAACCCAATGATAGGCTATTCGCATGCGATATGAGACAATTCAGAAGCGACAGGCGGCACAACCTCCGGCGGCGGCGGCAGCGGCGGATGACGACGACGATTACGAGCCCGAGTATCAGCCGATGGACGTTACAGAGCCGACACGCGAGCAGGCGGATGCCGTGGCAACTGAAGTGGCAGAGATTCAGCCGGACCTTGTGTCATTGGGGCCTTTTGTCTTACCTCAGCCTCCTCCTCTGTCCGAAGACGAGGCCGCAGAAGTTGGCCGCAGTGCCGTGGGGAGAGTATTTGGTATGCTGGCGTCGAGTGCGGTCGCCTCCAATCCTGCGAAGGGCAAGAGTCAGCAGCAGCCGGGCTTTGCGCGATTAGCCGGGAGCACCTTCGATCGAGATGCCTGGGTTACTTTGCTCACCAGACTCGCAACGCGAGCTCCAGCAGGTCTGGAAACGGGAACAGGGAAATTCGGGCAGGACGCATCGAGTAGGGGCCAGGCAACAATTTCGAATACAATTCGGGAGACTCTATATCGGTACATCCTCGAGGACTTTCGCGGCCGGGTGAACGTGGGCATCATGTGGTTGAACGAAGAGTGGTACAATGACCGGATACAGATGGAGTTCACTGCGTCGCGGCGGAGACCAGAGGATGAGGAGGCGACCGTGCCACTGTTCTATGATCACTGGGTTCTGAGGCTTCTTGATGGGTTCTTGCCCTACATTGATTCTCGGGACACCAAGATCTTCATCCGGTTCCTGAGCGAGATTCCAGAAGTGACGATTCCTATCACGCAGCGGGTAGCTAGTCTCGCAAAGGACCCCGAGCGTGTCAATCTATGCGTCCAATCACTATTGTAGGTTTACTGCCAGGAAAAGCAATTCCCGAGCTGACCGTCCACAGGTATTTGATTATGTTTCGACCACCAGCCCGAGAAATATGTCTCAATGCTCTGGAGCATGTTTATGAAACCTGTACGTCTTGTGCTCGTCGCTACCCTCCTGTCTTCTATGCTAATGATTCTCAATTTAGATGAGGAATCACGTCCTGCCGCTGGCAAGGTCTTGGCCAGGTGGCGTCCCAAGGAAGCACAACCGCAGGCTGAACAACAAACGACACTGGCAACTCGGGGTGCGACGACAGGAAACAGTGCGGCTCCTGTTGCTTGAGTCACTTGGTGGAGTCTGTACTGTACAAACTATGATCGTCCCATTTTTTCAAGGAAGCGTTACCTGGAAATTCCCCATACGAGTTATTATCTCATTTTACAATAGACAATCTGTTTGCAGTAATGTAATGTACAAATTCTTAAGAGCGTCAGTAGTCGGGGTCAATTGTCGGCCGCGGAATGGTCATCGAGACTTTTTGCAGGACGGAGACATTATCGTTGCGTATAAGACTAGAGAGCCAGGCGACTTTCAACAAGTTGTCTCGATGGTGTAGTTGGTTATCACGTGGGTCTCATACGCAGTATGACATGGAAGCTTCAACTTCCTTGATATCCCAAGGCCGGGAGTTCGAACCTCCCTCGGGACATTTCTTTTTGCATTTCGCCTGTCTTCACCTGGAGTGATCGATGTTCTTTTTACCAGTGCATATTCGAATAATCGGTGAACAGAGTACTTGTGAGAATAATGGAGTAGTGTTGTGTTCTGTGATGCTACAAAGGTTATGGCAACAATTGTGAGTTGTGCTTGATACCTACCATAGCACCAACCCAGCTTGTATATATCCGTGCATCCGGGCTAGTGGACTAACCACTGCTGCAATGACTTTCATCGTTTGCTACATCCGCTCGGCCCTATCACCAAATTCGCGGTTATATCGAGTACAATGAGACAATTCTTTCTGGTTCTCTCCTCCTTGTTTCCCTTTCCTCTTCCATGCGCCTCAAACCCGCCCCAAGATCGTGGCTCCAAGTTGTCAAACCGCAACAGTATACACTCACGACGTGAATACTAGACCCCCCTCCCTCAACATATGAGTGACTCACAACAACCACAGCGAGTGCCCAATCCATCACTAACAGCCATAAATCAACCCGCAATACGTCTCCTGAGAGTCCAGCCCAGCCTATCACCCCGCCCCGATCCCCCCAACCCTATACAAACCAGAAGAACAACCCACACCACCAGAACACAGAACGCACCGAGCGAGCTCGTCCCTATTCCAACCAAGTCAGCACTAACTCCACCCACATGCCCAAAGCCAGAGAGAGAGAGAGTACTTCTCCGGACATGGCCCAAACAATATCATCACCCCATACCGGCGCAGTAAGCTTACCCTCCCTCCTCTCGATCGCCTACTATTCTACCTAGCGAGCCACGCGCCATCCAACATATACAGTACAGTAGTCTCTCCGGTGTCCTAGCATCCAATAACCCCCCTCACAGATTAGACTAGGTAGTTAGTGTATGTACTCTAGCTAGGCTAGTAATCTACAGTAACCGAAGCTAAGCTTTATCCCTTTTGGATTCGAATTGGCAACCCGGATTCAGTAGTGCGTGAGATTATAGATTAGGGTAGGGAGGGGGGG